CACTTATTTCTGAATGAATGAAATAAATAAATATCATCTTCTTTTCATTCGTCACAACTTTGAACTTGCAAGTAGCAACCTGCAAGACCAGACTAGCTGAACCCCACGCGTGGTACAGTAGTTATTACCACTATTTTGGGTGTATTAATTTCCTTCATCTCATTTGCACACTAATTAATTAACCAATAGTAGTTTTAAAATTAGTAATTTCTTTCTTCTTTTGAATGTTTCTCTGAAAAGGACCTGATTGGACCATGATGCCACAATACAGAGTTACAAACCTGATAAAACCCGATCAAACCCTATTGATATTTTTATTAAATTCAGTTGATACAGCACTACAAACATGAAGGACAGAGAATTGTCTAGTTCTCAAGTTTGAAGTGTTTATTTTTTTGGTTTGTTCTGTTCAAAAAATGGAACCAAGAATTCAGTTGCTTTTTCTTCTGATTGTTTCTAGCCAAGTTTACATCATAGCCGCAGTTACTGATAGTGGTGATGGTAAGTTTGCTTCTTATTGTTTAACAAAACTTTTGTTGATTTAGGAAATGACAGATTTCTTCTGCAGACCTTCTTCTTTATCATCTTCATTTGGAGGAAAGGAAACGAAACCACGAGTCAATTAATACTGAATAGCAGAAGCTTCTTATTTAAATGATGATTATAGACATAATCTTCATTTCTAGACTGCTCGTTATTACCCTTGCAATTTATTAAAGTGGTTATTGTGGGTTGCTGGCTGCAACTAGAAATAGGAGCTGATCTGCAAAATTTGCTTCGAAATTCCCATATTCTTTCTGGTATATACATATAAAAAAAAAGTTAGTTGGGTCTTAATTCTTCAATGCTTGTGGCTTTTAAATTGTTTAGCAATTAAATCTCTTTCAAATTGTGAAGGGTTAAAACTTATGTAAACTCCTTTCGGTTAGGACTCAATTGATTTCAAATCATTGGGAAATCAGACTCCAAAAGTCATACTGCCTTATCCAGTGAAACTACATTTATTTTTTATTCTGGTGCAGCTGCTGCTCTAACTTCTCTCAAGGCTGTGTGTAATAACTTACCCCACAATTGGTTGGGCCCAGATCCTTGTGGTGATGACTGGGTAGGAATTGGGTGCACGAATTCACGAGTCACCTCCATGTAAGTTCTTGGTTAATTTCCACCTCTTGGATGAACGCTTATTCCTCTGAGGATTGACCTGTCTTCCATCTGTTGCAGAACATTGGCAAACATGGGCTTGGAAGGCCAAGTGTTTAGTGACATCCCATCCTTAACTGAATTACAGACTTTGTAGGTCCTCTACCTGAAATTCACGTGGGAATCATTTCAAAACTAACTTGTTCATTCCCCTCCATTTAAGACAATAATCATTTATGTGATTGTGCTGCTCAGATTTCTGAAGATTCATTTAAATCTAAGGCTTAACTGAAACATATTGTCTTTAGGCATTATATACAAAAAGTTTAGTGATGATTATAATAGAGGACACGAGGAACATGATGGTCTGCTGTTTTGTCAGCTAAATATGCCTCCCTACCTTTTCCATTATTCGGTGAGGGATGTTATAATATATACGTATTGATATATCTCTGATTAAGCTTCTTTATGCAGGGATCTATCTTACAACGAGGGCCTGACAGGATCTCTTCCAGCATCAATTGGGAATTTAAAGAAGCTAACAAGCTTGTAAGTCGCTATGTCTAATTAATCTTTTTATTTTTTTATTTTTTTTTATTTTTTTGCGTCTTCTCCTTTATGGAAAATCTATTGTTTACCATTCTCTTCAAACCTGCTTTTGTTCTCCCGTGACAGAATCCTTGTTGGGTGTGGTTTCACTGGTATAATTCCTGACACGATAGGAAATCTACAACAGCTGACCACGTTGTGAGGACTTTTACTCTAATATCAGCTATGTTATAACGGTTAATCTTAAAATTTTAAATTGCTTTGTGTGTTTCCATTGTTTAATGAAACTTGATGGACAAATTTGTACTGGTTGACTAAGTAATCACAGTTCAGCTCTGTTGTGAATTGTATTGATACTTCAATGCTTTTGCAAATTTTAATCACAAATATGGATGTTAACTTTGTTTTTTTTTATTTAAAAATGTTAATTTTATTAATTTTTAAATAAAAATATTAATTTTTAATTTTTTTTATTTAAAGATGTCATTTTTAATTTTTTTAATTTAAGAATGTGAATTTTTAATATTTTAGTAAAAAAATGTTTTTTTAATAAAAAAGTATGTTTATCATGTCAGTATTATTATTTAATTAATTTTTAAATAAAAAAGTTAAAAGTTGATGTCATTCAATATAAAAAACTTAAAAATTAAAAGTTAATATCTTTAAATATAAAAAATTAAAAATTAATATATTTATTTAAAAATAAATCTCTTTAAATAAAAAAATTTTAAAAAAAGAGAGTAAAATTAACAATCTTATTTGTACATTTTCTCAATTTTAATCGAAGCAGTTCCATGCTAGCCAACATCGCTGAAACCCTCATTGCTCGCAGATCTCTAAATTCCAATAACTTTGGAGGACAAATTCCACCATCTATTGGTAATCTATCGAATCTATATTTGTTGGATTTGACTGACAACCAAATAGAGGGACCAATTCCAGTGTCAAATGAAACTACACCTGGCCTTGACATGTTGGTCAATACCAAGCATTTGTATGTTACTTGTCTTCCTAATTTTAACTCATGTTATTATTTTCTGTTTCCTTTTTAATAATATCATCTAAAGTTTTCTCCTTTATCCACAGTCATTTGGGACAAAATCAACTTTCAGGCGAAATCCCTGAGCAAATTTTCAGCTCAAACATGAGTCTGATACATGTGTGAGTTTCACTTTTGTTTTCTTTAATTATATTTCGACTACATAAGTTAACGAAAAATAAATTAGCAGAGGGCTTAAACCTAGGAAATTTCTACAACAAACAAGTATTGCCTTCTGAATAACAACGCTTTTGTACCAAAAGCAGCTAGTAGTAGCAGATTGTTTCTAGTTCTTATCTCTTTGAGTATGTGTGATTTAAAGGAAATGGAAGGGAGGGGGAGGGGATGGATGAGTTTTTTAACCACTCAAATTATACTGTTTTCAAATATTGCAATCGGATTGGTTAAAAAATTCAGACCTCCCCTCCATTTCCCTCAAATGTTCTTCTTTTGTTTAACGGAGTAGCAAATCTGCCCTTTTCTTCTTTTCTCCTTCCTTTTTAGTTTTCACCAAATGACAGGCTGGATTATCGTATGTTTGAAAGCTTTCATTTCTTCTCTTTCTGTAAGGTTGTTTGACAGCAACAAACTCACTGGTCCTATCCCTTCAACCCTTGGGCTTGTGCAATCTTTACAAGTGATGTGAGTATCTAGAACACATGCTTAAGCAGATTCAAAATAAGATTATTATGGGAATTGGATTTCTTTGTGGGTGTGATTGAAGAAGTTATTTTTTTGACTACAGACGTTTTGATAACAATTCCTTAAGTGGGAGTGTTCCGTCAAACCTCAACAATCTCACAAGTCTTCAAGAGTTGTAAGCATGCAAAAGATGGAAGATGAGTAGTCTTTGTATTTATTTGTTTATCTTCTTTAATAGGAAATGTTTTGTGAACTTCTTTTCAGGTATTTGTCTAACAATAACTTGAATGGCTCTTTACCCTCTTTTATTGGCATGAGCGATCTCAACAACTTGTAAGCCATGCATGCCTTTTACATAAATAAACTACCCTTTTTTTTTCTGTCTTTTTCCCCACTTCTTATGTGTTTGTAATGCATGCACTTTATGTCTTCAATTGAATTGTTATTCACCAGGCCTCCTTCAACAACCTTATATAGTTGTCATTGATTTGCATTCTAATAATATAATTGTGTTCTACAGGGACTTGAGTAATAATACATTCAGTACCTCTGTGATTCCTACATGGGTTTCATCTTTGTCATCCTTAACAACACTGTATGTCCATCTCTCTCTTTTAACATTGTATGAACTATTTTAAATGCAGAACCCAAATACTCCCTTATAGTCTTTTACCATCAGACTTCATTGAGGACCATATGTTTTGTTTCCACCCCCGATGAACATTTTAAGCAGTAATATGATGTATAGAACTTAGTCATGCTAGTAAATGGTACAATAAATCCATCCCTAAATTTGTTTTTGCTCCCTCCCTCTTTCATTTCCTCTCTTCCTTGCCTTCTCACTTTGTTTTCTGCATCTTCATGGACACATGGCCATACTCCTATGTACATACACATTGATGGGTTTCCTTTCAAGTTAAGAGAACGATTGATATATATATATATATATATTTTTGCAAGGCAGATGGATGGAAAACACTCAACTTCAAGGTGAAGTTCCTGTCAACCTCTTCAGCCTTCCAAATTTGCAAACTGTGTGAGTATCAGCTTCACTTCATGCACTACCATTCCTTGTCCAGGATGTTCACAACTCTGGTGAAACATATCTGTTGATCCAAACCATGGAGATGATAGCTGAAGGCTAATTATTTCTATCTTTGTCACATTGTACAGGGGGCTAAAACGTAACCAGCTAAATGGTACCTTGGCTATAGGCAAGGGATTTAGTAACCAACTGCACCTCATAGATTTACAGAAAAATTTGATAAGTGGGTTCAATGGAATAGAAGGATACGACATTCAGATAATGTGAGAGAGCATTTCTTCTAGCTTTTTATTCTCCATTAATTTGTTTTTTGCTTAAGAACTTGGCTCTTATTACTTGGAGGTCAAATTGCCTTTAGATGTATTCTCTTCAAGTGTTAAAGCTTATGAATGTCTTTCTTGGCTCAATAGATTTAATTAATTTATGCAGACTTGCTGATAACCCCATTTGTGAAGAGAAACTCGCAACAACAACTTACTGTGTAGTTTCACAATCAAATTCCACTTCCTTGTATACTACCCCTGCCAGCAACTGCCTGCCTGCTACATGCAGTTCAGACCAAGTTTCTAGCCCCCAATGCAGATGTGCATATCCATATACAGGAATTCTAATTTTTAGAGGAATTTTTTTCTCAAACTTGGGGAACTCAACCATATATGTGGTTCTACAGACATCTCTGATGCAGTTTTTCCAATCCAACAATCTTCCTGTTGATTCAGTTTCACTAAGTAATCCAAGAATAGATCCTTATAGATATTTTCGATTGAATCTTAGTATCTTTCCATATGGCCCAAATAGTTTCAATCAAACAGGGGTTTCTACAATTGCATTTATATTTAGCAACCAGTTTTACCAGCCACCATCTAATCTTTATGGACCTTATTATTTCATTGGTGATGCTTACAACCACTTTTCAGGTATTTTCACAATTATTATAGAACCATAATGAATTGTTAAATGTAGCTCTATTTGATGTTAATCCACACTTTTATGTCATATGTGGTTTCTTCAGATGCTACAAACTCCCCAAAATCAACTACTGGCATCATTATTGGAGCAGTTGTTGGTGGCTTTATGCTTCTGCTACTTTCACTGCTTGTTGGGGTTTATGCTTTTCGTCAAAAGAAGAAGGCAAAAAGAGCAAGCCTAGAGAGCAACCCTTTTGGTATGATTAGCATTTATTTACCGTAGCATATTCCGGTTGATTGCACATAAACTGCAAGTTTCTTAACCCATTCTTTGCTATACAAATGTAGCACACTGGGATGTTAAGAAAAGCAGTGAAAGCATTCCTCAGTTAAAAGGTGCAAGATGTTTCTCTTTTGAAGAGCTTAAGAAATATACAAATAACTTTTCAGAGGCCAATGATATTGGATTTGGGGGTTATGGAAAGGTGTCTATCCCTCTCTCTCCCTATAAGTAAAATGATTATTCTTTCCTAAATAAAATTTTGTTATTAACCCCCTTTCATTTGAACTGGTAATTTTACAACTTGCGAGTATTGGTCTTAGTTACTATAGGCACGTATGCACATAGCATTTTTAGACACATATATATGGAGCAAATAAGCCCTTGATGAAACTTTGGTGGCTTATCCACCCCAGAACTTATAAATAGCGGCAAATCTCCCCAAAGTGATAGAATTTGTTAGTTTATATTGGTCAATGTATAATTTGTCTGATGTGGTATGATAGGCTGACTATCGTCAGTCAACGATTTCCATCAACTTTTGGGGAGATTTGCTGTTGTTTGTAAATTGTTAGATGGATTCGCCACCAAACTTTCATTAAGGACTTACATGCTAGTAAAAAAATTATATAAGGGGCTTATTTACCTATTATTCCAATAGAAAATAGCAGTTTTAATTGGAACTTTTGTATTAGAAAATAATCAATGTATCCTGAGGGCCTCTCTTTTATATTAGAAAAGTTCCATGGGGATTTTCGGCAACTATGAAGTATGATCAATGCTATAATGCTAAGTAAATCATGAACATGATATGATTAACATAATCAATTTAACTTCAAACTTCTGTGAATTTAGTAGGTTATCACCGAATCAAATTATAGAATTGTCAACTTGCCAATTTTCTCAAATTTGTATTTTTTTGTCTTCAATTATTATATGTGTTACATTACATTACATTACATGATTATTAAAGTTTCAATCTTTAATCAATTACAGGTTTATAGGGGAACCCTTCCCAATGGAGAGCTAGTTGCGATCAAACGAGCCCAGCAAGGATCAATGCAGGGTGGGCAGGAATTCAAAACAGAGATTGAACTTTTGTCTAGAGTCCATCATAAGAATGTTGTCGGTCTATTAGGATTTTGTTTTGAGCAAGGTGAACAAATGCTAATATATGAATATGTTCCAAACGGCTCTTTGTATGAAACTCTATCAGGTATTTATGTTCCTCCATTTATTCCCTTTTTGACCCAACATGAATTACTTAACAAATTATGTAGCTGGACATTATTTTCATGATTTATATATACTATTGCTGAAAGAGAAAATGATAAGCCTCAACTGTTGAAACAGCAAAAAACAACTCAAAAGGCTTTGTAAATATAACTTAATTTTTACAACTTCTTTCTTTGCAACTGTCTAAGATTCTAACTAGTTATTTTACCCGTGGTATTTTTTTCCATCTACTAACTGCAGTCTTACCATAGTATCTATAATAACCATGTATCAATCAGTTTATCTATGACAAATGAATCTAAGTTACACCCTTCACATTTCTATCATAACAAGCTAGCCTACGTTTAGCAAATGCTTCTTTTAATTTGCTTTATTGGAAAGTCTCATACTATGTGCAGGAAAGTCAGGAATCATACTGGATTGGAGTAGGCGACTTAAAATAGCCCTTGGTGCAGCTAGAGGGCTAGCATATCTACATGAACTGGCCAATCCTCCCATCATACATAGGGACATTAAATCGACTAACATATTATTGGATCAACGCCTTACTGCTAAAGTTGCCGATTTTGGTCTTTCCAAGCTGATAAGTGACACTGAAAAAGGTCATGTTACCACACAAGTCAAAGGGACAATGGTGAGTGCTTTTATGCACCCACTTCAG